TTAACATTAGATAACTTAATCCTCTTCATTCGATTGGTGGAGACTCATTTGCGCACATATTATTACATTTTTTAAATTTACGACAACTCATTTGCGCACAAAATAGTAAACAATGAAAACCAGCTTTTAGGTACAGTTTTGGGTGTACAGGGTGTCTTAAGCTGTCCAACACGTTACACGTTCAATATTATTGATATCAATCATCAATGATCACCCGTTATTGGAGTATCTTCAATATAGCCTTATATAGTCTTAAAGCATAACGTGATTTCACATCAGTTCTTATCTATCAAAAATGGCATTAATACTCGCCAAGTACACTAGTCGTGTGGGACAAGCTTTAATCTTTATTATGATTAATTTATTATTAATGATTGTACCTAATTTATTGTAATTTGACAAAATTTTAATGACTTGTAAAAATGATTGTACCTAATTTGTTGTAATTTGACAAAATTTTGAATAATGTGTAATAGCTAAAACAAAATTTTTAAACCCGCCAGTCTATAACATCAGAATATGATGAGACAGAAAGTCCTAAGCCTTTTAAAGGGTGAAGGAAAATGTTGTTTGAGTATAATAATTGTCCACTATCAGTATTGACCAAATCGAAAATATGGTGGTACGGAGATTATACGTGGATAAAATTCTTGGAAAAAAGGTTTCTATTGTTCGTAAATTGTGCGCAAATGAGTTATGTTTTTGTGCGCAAATGAGTTGTAGCCCATTCGATTACATGACAAAGTAGGTAATTGGTAATTACCATTATTATATTTATCGTAGTGGTACAAATCTTCTATGCACACCATGCAAATTAGTTTTAATCGATAATACATTAATGCCTAAAGCTTAACTATAAACAAAGTTTATAAAATAACGTCATAATTAATTAATTTATTATTAATTTAAATCATTAAGATATCTGAACATAATTTTATTAGTATATTTAAACATAAAAGCAATTTACATAAACAAAATAATCTGTCCTATAAATATTAAATATTTTAAATATTTTTAATATTAATGGATACATTAAATGAAGAATACCACAAGAAAAAAGATCAAGAAAGTAAGCAATCGTATTAAAAATAGACAAATATTTTGGGAGTATTTGTGGTTAACTTTTTCGTTTGACGAGAGAGGTACCTACTTAAATATATTTTTTATAAAAATTTTGTTATTATGAGAAACAAAATAATATTACAGAAAGCAGTTCAACCACTCAACCTGGAGAGACCGGTATAGGTGTGTTAATCTCTATATATATAAAAATGAATGTATGTCAGTGTGTCAGTGTGTCTGTGTGTCTGTGTGTCCATGTTACCATGGCAACCATATCTGTATATAAAAAACAGTAAGCTGATTGACTGCTATCAACGCACAGCTCAAACCATTGGACGGATCTGGCTGAAATTTGGCATACAGATAGCTATTATAATATAGACGTGCGCTAAGAAAGGATTTGCCAAAATTCGCATTTTAAATAGGTGCTGAAACAGGGACATTTTAAAAAATGGAAATTTTTAATTTTAAAAAAATGGATTTTTTTAATTTTTAATTTTTTTAATTTTTTTTTTTTTTTTTAATTTTTTTTTTTTTTTTGGAAATTTTATTTTTATTTATTTATAGTTGCCATTGGTTACAGTCTACATTAGAAATTAGCATTTATTTATTGGTTGCCATTGGTTATTCGGGCAGATCAGGTACAAGCTTGCATCAAATCGAATTATTGAACAATGCTTACCAGGGTGGCAGAGTTGCACTTACCGCAGAAAATTACACCCAAAAGGAGTTCAACAATCATAATTTTTTTAAGAGTTGCGATTTTTTACGAGCAACCAAATTTATTATATTAATCCACAGTATTACATCAAAATAAACTTGGTATAACTTTGATACTTTAGAGTTAAATCATACACTTCCGCAGTGGCGTAAATTGGGTCCAATTTCTGGTGGTGCAGAGGCATATTCTTAACCTATAATTTCCAACACAAAAATAATCCAACTTTCTAAGTAAAATCCTTCCTAACAAAAAAAAACTATATATTTATCCATACATTTTGTCAACATTTGAACTTCAAATACTTATAAAAAAAAATTGTGGCTATGTATTTTTAATATTTTTCAACGCTATATTGTAACAATATATCAGGAGCCTTCCATTAAATTTTCAAGCTTTTTACCCAACAAATAAAATTTTATTGATATTTATAGAAAAAAAAAAATAAAAAATGACAATGTCCGGAAACAGCTCAAAGAGAGTTAAAATATTTTTAAAACTTTGTGGTGTATAGAAAATTAAAATATAAATATATAAATTTTCATGTATTTACAGTTATTTGTTGGAATAACAACAAATTAACAAAATCGCTACATGAGAAATCTAGTGAATATCCAATCTTGTAAAAATATGATTTTCAAATGCTCATAAAAATTTAATTTGATTTACTTGTGGACATTTTTTTTTTGATAAAGGCGTATACAAACTTATGAATAATCTTGTATTACATTTTAAAATCTTAAATTTAAAAAGAAACATTTTTATGATTTTTTCAACTCAAATTATATTGTTAATTTTCGTTATTTTTCTGTATTTTGTCAAGATTTGAACTTTAAATGCTTATAAAAAAAACTGTGACTAAGGATTTTTAATAATTTTCTAATGTCATTGTAACAATAAAGTTGGAGCCTTGTATTAAATTTCCAAGCTTTTTTACCCAACCAGTGAATATTTCAATTATATATGTATATGTTCATTTGTTTGGTCAAAAACCAAAATCGATTTTGTCGAAAACCGATTTCGGGTAAAAATTCCTGTTTTTCCTTAATTTTAATGTTGTTTTTCCTGGCGCTTATGAAACCTGTAGAGAATTTTAAAATTTGATTCAATACGACGTCTAGCTGTCATCTGACATTTGACTTTTGAGAATTGAATGAACATTGATCCAGTGATAACACACTATTTTGGCGGTAGAATGTTGATAGCAATATAATTTTACCATATTATACGTCAATTCTGTGCACGATTAAAGATATAATATCTTTAATCGTGATTCTGTGATACTGCCATAATAAAATACAAAATTCTGTGGATAGTGGTTACCATAGATAATAATCTAACTATTTATGGGGGTTGTATGATATTTTAGAATATAGATAGGGTAATAATTTAAATGATAATGTCTAATACATGCACTAAAATAACTATTTTGTACCTCTTTAGTCTTTATATATTATATATTTCAATGATTTTCTGGTGGTGCAAAAACATACCTTTGCACCACCACATTTTAGATGTGGTGGTGCAAGTGCTGCATTTGCACCACCCAGTTTACGCCACTGCACTTCCGTACAAACAGCACGGGGTCCGCGATCTACCGCAGGTAGATTGCCTACCTGATAATGTACTGCTGCGATTCAGAATTTTTATTCAGGGCAACGGGAAAGATAAGATAAATTTTGAACACCATACACGTTAATGAATTGAACAAAGTTTGAGTAGGTAGTATTGAGTTGATCCATTTAACGGGCGACGAAGTGCACGGGATCAGCTAGTTTTTAATAAAATAAATAAATCTACTTTAATATACGTATAATATATTGTTGATACTTAAATGGGGTGAAGTGTACAATTTTTAGAACCTTAAGAACTTGTTTTTGCCAGTTATTCAGGGTGGCCAGATATAAAATACGAAAATACGGGACAAAGATAAGAATTTTTTTATTATGAATAAACATCTATTTTTTATGAAATGCTTGAATATTTAAAGTCTTAAATCTTAATTGATTACTAACATACCTATACATATTTAACTTACTAAAATAATCTATTTTGGATATTTTATTACAATTGTCCATTTTAAGAATTAAAAATATTTTTTTGTACTTATAAGTATAAACTATGATAACTATAATATAGTGTAATATGAATATTTGATTTAACTGGTGTTAGAAGTTGATGCTTGGGTATTTGTAAGTATTACAGTTTTAACTTTCGTTAAAAACACATTTTCTTTTAGGCATAGTTATGTTAGCGACGAATGTTTTTTTGTTTAAAATGTATCATAATCAAATCAAGTTATAATGTATATTGTAAGGGCCGAGGCACTGTGTGCCCTGAACTGGTCACACTGCGCCTCGCGCCCAACCGAGACACGGACAACCGCGACGGCGGCACGTCCGGCGACAGTCTTGCTCTAGTTTTCGTAGCGACCGGGTACACCGTTTTGTCCCGCGTCCCCGGCGACCGTTTATCCAAGTAAATCACAGTCATGTTCTAGTTTTCGTAGCGACCGGGTACACCGCTTTGTCCCGCGTCCCCGACGACCGTTAATCTAAGTTGTTAAGTTAGAAACTGTAATCTTATGTTCTTCTAGTTTGCCGTTTGTAAGAATAAACGCCGAATACCACACACTTCGTTCTAAATATTTACCTAGTTTCCAGAATCCTGACCCGAGTCTTACCTTAAACTGCTACCGATCGTTAGTTGTTTAAAGTTCGCTAACATTTCAGAAGTGGGATAAGCTCGAAGGCCCCTCACACGTGTTTCCGAGTGCGTCGACGGACCCGAAACTCCGAAATCGTGACCCGTTTGTCACGAGGTTTCTGTTCGGTCACGTTGTATTTCCGTGTGCGACTTCGGGAAAACCCATCACGTAACGTACGTAACGTTATCTCGCCTGCTGTTTTCGATCGCGATCGTGCGAGTGCGCCCGTCCGCCGCTCCGACGCCCGATCTTGCGAGTGCGCCCGTCCGCCGCTCCGACGCCCGATCGTGCGAGTGCGCCCGTCTGCCGCTCCGACGCCCGATCTTGCGAGTGCGCCCGTCCGCCGCTCCGACGCCCGATCTTGCGAGTGCGCCCGTCCGCCGCTCCGACGCCCGATCTTGCGAGTGCGCCCGTCCGCCGCTCCGACGCCCGATCTTGCGAGTGCGCCCGTCCGCCGCTCCGACGCCCGATCGTGCGAGTGCGCCCGTCCGCCGTTTCGACACCGATCTTAATATGGGTGACCATACCCCACCAACGAACATTCAGCACATCCAAGCTCCCACGTACAACGAGCTTTTCAATCTGGCCCAGTCGCTGAAGTCGCGGTTGGAGTTGCTGGAAAAGAATGCGGGAAATCCTGTCACGACGCAGCCCCCGACACAGCAAACCGAAAACTCCGTGCCACACACTTACAGCGATTACCGAATGTTGCCGGATCTGAACCGAACTGTGCCTGAATTCACCGGCCACGAATCGAGCTGCGCCGCCGAAGATTGGTTGAGCACTGTCGATGCTCTGGCTGGTATAAACAATTGGCCAACGCCATACCGACTGCAATTCGTGAAATCAAACATGACGAACGCGGCCCGTAGCTGGTACCACACGGAGGTATTCACGGATTGGTCCGATTTTAAGGTGAAGTTCCGTTCCGCCTTTGTCCGTACACTACGTATGACGGACCGATGGAAGGCGCTGAGTGAACGTCTGCAAGGGGAAACTGAGCACATAGCTGACTATTTCTACGACAAGCTCCGTCTGTGCCAAGCTTTGCATCTCACCTTCACTGAAACGCGGGACCACATCGTCATGGGTATTCGTTCTCAAGAATTGGCAGTTTACGCCATGAGCAGGGACCACAGCACTACCGCAACACTGCTGGCCGACCTGCAAGAATGGCAACGTTTGTACGAACTGCGACGGACGCAGTTTCCGACGACGGCTAGGCCACACGTAGTGCCTGCCGCGAAGACAACGAAGTACGAACAACGAAACACCGATACCCGTCGTACCGCCGATGAGACGCCGTCGACGTCGGCAACGCCAAGTGAAGGTCCAACGACCTCATCCGACTTACCGAAAACGTCCACGGTACGATGTTACAACTGTGGTGGTACCGGACATATATCACGTGATTGTCCGAAACCACGGAAACCATGTTCGGGCTGTCAGTCGACGACGCATTCGCGAGGTCAGTGCACCGTGAATCCACGCAAGGTTGCGCCTCCCGCCGAAACATATTGCGTTGAACTGACATCAAGATACCCGAAGGAGAACTGTTTTATGAAGGATATACTGTTCAACGACATACGCGCTACCTGCCTGATCGACACGGGTTCGTCAGATGTTTTGGTACGCATCAGCCTCGCCGAACGATCCACGTCGGAAATCCGCAAGGTCTGTCGTCCATTGGTCACGGTCGGAGACACGAACTCTCCAGGTGCGGTGACGTTGGGTGAGACCACTGCAGACATAGCCGTCGATAACGCGAGCGCTGCCGATCACCCGGTGCTTGTCGTCAGTGACGACTCTATCCCTGTGGACGTAATTGTAGGCCGGACGTGGCTAAATCTACCACACATCAGTTATTACAAGCGCCAAGATGAGCTGGTCATCGAGACACTCAATGGTATTAACTCTACAGCGCTGTCCGAAAATGTGTCTGAGGAAAGTACGAATGTATATGCAGCCCTAGTCAGTGCTGACAAGCCCACGATGACGCCGCTACTGCATACCGACGTCAAGATTGACCCGGGTGTCACTGAAGCCGAACGCGGCAGTTTGATGACGCTCATAAACGAGGACCGTGATGTGTTCGCCAAGACGTTGGCTGAACTCAATTGCACAGACGTTATGAAAATGAACATTGACGAGGTGCAGGGTAGTGACCTTGTGTGTCAAAAACCGTATCGCACGTCACCAACCGACCGTCGCATCACTGCACAGATTTTGAACGACTGGAAGTCCGCCGGTGTTGTTTCGGACTCTACGTTACCATACGCTAGCCCGGTGCTCCTTGTAAATAAGGGCACAGGTGAAAAACGATTGTGTGTTGATTACCGAAGGCTTAATCAACGAACACAGAACCAACCATATCCGATGCCGGATATCGACGACCTATTATCGCGGCTCGCGGAGAGCCGGATATTCTCCACGATGGACCTCTCCAATGGATTATTGCAAATTCCACGGAGCGAAGAGGCCAAGGAGAAAACTGCATTTGTCACGGAGGAGACCACCGCGAGGTTCGAACGAATGCCGTTTGGGTTGAAAGGGGCCCCCGGTACGTTTCAAAGAAGTATGAACACCGTTTCTCGAGGTGTGATACAACCAGGACAGAAAGTACACGCAATCAAGACATTCCCGCAGCCCCGGGATGCACACGAGCTCACAGGGAAGGATGTGGCGTACGAGCGAGGTCGAAGCAGAAGACGAAGATGGCGATGTCCGACATGAGGTCGATGATGAAGACCCCGTGGTGCGGAGCGCAACCCGACCATCACCGGGCCCAGCCGGATCAGACGTCCACCTGCGTACCTGTCCGACTACAAGCTGGACTAATTCCTATCTACCTACTGCATCATGATATGCACCTGTTTGTAAAGTCATTTATTTAATTGTGAAAAATTATTTAATCACCCGTTGTAAGTTATTTATTTAATTGTGAGAAATTATTTAATCACCCGTTGTAAGTTATTTATTTAATTGTGAGAAATTATTTAATCACCCGTTGTAAGTTTTTTATTTAATTGTGAAAAATTATTTAATCACCCGTTGTAAGTTATTTATTTAATTGTTTAAAATTATTTAATCATCCGTTGTAAGTTATTTATTGTAATGTCGCCTAACGTTTCTGGCTTGGCTCTCCTCAGAGCGAGGACACTCTGACTGGCCAGGAAAGGCCGAATGTTAGCGACGAATGTTTTTTTGTTTAAAATGTATCATAATCAAATCAAGTTATAATGTATATTGTAAGGGCCGAGGCACTGTGTGCCCTGAACTGGTCACACTGCGCCTCGCGCCCAACCGAGACACGGACAACCGCGACGGCGGCACGTCCGGCGACAGTCTTGCTCTAGTTTTCGTAGCGACCGGGTACACCGTTTTGTCCCGCGTCCCCGGCGACCGTTTATCCAAGTAAATCACAGTCATGTTCTAGTTTTCGTAGCGACCGGGTACACCGCTTTGTCCCGCGTCCCCGACGACCGTTAATCTAAGTTGTTAAGTTAGAAACTGTAATCTTATGTTCTTCTAGTTTGCCGTTTGTAAGAATAAACGCCGAATACCACACACTTCGTTCTAAATATTTACCTAGTTTCCAGAATCCTGACCCGAGTCTTACCTTAAACTGCTACCGATCGTTAGTTGTTTAAAGTTCGCTAACAGTTATTATTTTAATTATTATTTATTACTTATTAGTTCAACTGATATGATAGATTGTAAGATAGGTACACAATAAATGTTCACACACGAAATGCTAAACGCTAACTGGCTAACTGACTAACTGAGAAACTGGGGATGTATAAAAATTATAAATATTTTCACCGACACTACGAGAGATATCATTCTATTTACAAATAATATATTATACACATATTGTGCTATATTATTATGTCTCATCGTCGGTCGCGACGTCGTGATCGTAATCGTCTGTATGCGGGCTGTGATCCTTTACGACGAAAACCAAAAATAACTTTATATTCGAATAATCGAATTCGATACTTACAAATCGGTTATCGTAATAATATGGCAAAAACACCATTACCTATTCTACAAAATATGCATAATTATATACGATATACATTTACTCCGTAGACCGTAATTGATATTTAATACAGATAGATGAAGATTACCTATATTTTTAATATTTTTTTTTTTTACATATTTTCTATTATATGAAAAAACGGGACAATATAGCGTCCCGGAAGCATATGTCGGGACAACGGGACAGACTTTTGAAATACGGTACTTTCCCGTATAATACGGGACGTCTGGCCACCCTACAGTTATTATCACCAATCCTGCTCACTTACAAAATTAAATTGTCAATAATAAAATAACTAATATGATAACACAAATATTGATAGTAAAATCATGTAATTAAAAAAAATTCCCTAAAATTCATAGTCAACATTATTTATTCAAAAAACAATATTACTTGGTGCTAATAACAGTACACTTTACCTTTTATTGTTTTTATAAATATTTTTTGCTATCATGAGAAACAAAATAATATTACAGAAAGCAGCCAGAGCACTGAACCTGAAAAGGCCAAAATTGGTAGGTATATGTTCATATGTAATAAAATAATGGTTTCAAATAAATTTGTAATTGCATCTTTTCACGACTGTCTATTAATCGTACTATATAATTCTAAATATCTAAAAAAATGTGTTTAACAATTATTATATTATTCTCAATAATTTGAATATGAAATTCTTACTAGACTAAAATAAAACCACGATGTTTACTATAATAAAATAGACAAATATCTATATTATATTATATATACTCAACTATAAGACAAATTTATAACTTATAAATTATAAGTATTACTCAATAGGTATACGTACATTATGTATATTGTATATATATAAATAATAATTAAAAAGTAGTAACGATAAAAAAAAGGTAACTCTATTTTTTTTGAAAAATTTTATTTTTAACAACTTTAAATTTTCTATGTAATTTAATATTTTCAAAAATGTAAATCGTCTTAAAAACAATGAGTGTCTTGTGGTAAATTGAGATCACCCGTTATAGTATTCTATAATATTGGCACATTATTGCTATAATTTTATTTATATAATTTATTTAATACTTATTTTTTTCTTTTAGATGATGAAGAAATAATATACCTATTGTAAGTTAACTTAAAATGTATCTATTTTATTTTATCGTTTTATAAATTCATAAAATCTGTATTTGTTCAATAAATGCATTTAATTAATCACATTTTAACTTTTGCTCTGTTGAGTAAAATTTTAATACTGTTGTATATTTAACTCTATATCTATCTTCTATATATATAAAAACGAATGTATGTGTGTGTGTCCATATTACCATGGCAACCATATCTGTATATATAAAACAGTAAGCTGATTGACTGCTATCAACGCACAGCTCAAACCATTGGACGGATCTGGCAGAAATTTGGCATACAGATAGCTATTATGATGTAGACGTGCGCTAAGAATGGTGACTTGTAAAACATATTATTCATAAAGAGTTGGCAGCCATTATTATAATAATAATTATTGGCTGCCATTGGTTTAAAATGGTTGCTATTTATTATATCGCCTAGTGACATTTATTATATCTAAAATACCGACTCATTTGTTCCATAATATTGAATTAATTTTCAACAGATTAAAGTTAATTTAATATCTATATCGAAATATATATAAAAATGTATGTATGGGTGTCCACTGTCCATGGCAACCATTTATATAATATTATTTTGAGATTTCCATCTGTGTGCGTCTCAATATTACCATGTCAACCATTTATAAATTATTTTGAGATTTATGATGGAAATTTTTGTTTATAAATGGTTGCCATGAGTTTTGAAGCTATTATAATAATAATTATTGGTTGCCTGGCAACAAAGTGCATGGGATCATTTGGTACAGAGATAAAATTATAGTTCTGGGCTGAAGATAGGCTAATTTAAGAAGGGAGAGGACCAGCCCCGGGAAGTGGTCAAACAGGGATTTTGAGTCATACAAAGTTGGCATTTTTAACGGGCAACGAAGTGCACGGGATCAGCTGATAATAATAATAATAATAATAATAATAATAATAATAAAAAAATAAAATAAATATTGTAATTATTGCAGTTCATGTTTAAACTTCATAGTATATATATTTTTTTTTTTTTCCCCATTAATTAACCCCGGTCACGGGCGGCACCTCTCTTCGGGCAGTCACGGTGTCTGGAGAGAGAGGTTGCCATCCCCCCACCCGAGCATGGCAGATACCTACAGATGCCCACTTGAAAATTCTGCCAAACTAAAAACACATATTATATTATTTTAGTCGTATGATAATAATTACCTACTGACTTATAGTTTTAATTACGAATTTATTAGATGATAATAATTATTATACTGATGATTATTTACAGTGAAATCAATTGGTATGTATGAAATGTTATGAAAATTCTAGATACATTGTTAATTTATAAAATGTGGAAAACACTTGGACACTTGGGACATTTTCTTATTGATATTCTTAATACATACTATCATAATCTTATTTCCATTAGGCACACTAGTTATGACTTTAGGGTATAAGTTCAATGACATGGCAAACTTGAAATTTGTTCTGAAGCTAGTCTGTTAATAATAATTATAATAATTAATATAATTAAATAATTATTATTTCACCCATCCTGCAGTTCCAATAACCTGATAAAATCATTCACTGTTATATTTGTAACTGCCCGCTAGTTATTGTTAAAATACTATTGTTAATACTAAATTATTACGTATTGGCCAATACCCAGCCACCACATCCTAAAGAAACTTAGATGCACCTCATGATTACCCCTTTCGCCACTCCACTTACCAATTATTATCTGCATATATCTACTTGTGAGTTATACCTTATACCTTATAACTCATAAGTATTGAATGCTATAATGATGTGAACATAGATTTAAGTAACTGTGACCATTCACATAAGTAGTCATAACTCATAAGTAGGTATACCACTAATTTATCATAAATTATTCAAATAGTCATTACAATTTAAGTATGACAAAATTAATTTAGTTTACAAGGTATGTCTGTGGACAAAAGTGAAGCAGAGTGATAGGTAGCCAACCAATCTATTTTTTAGATTCTGAGCGGAGCGATGAATGTATTGGTTTTACAATGATGTATGTTTTTATATTTTAGATTCTGAGCGGAGCGATGAATGTATTGGTTTTACAATGATGTATGTTTTTATATTTTTATTTATATTTTAGATTCTGAGTGAAACGATGAATGTATTGATTTTACAATGATGTGTGTTTTTTTTTTTATTTTTTTTTTTATTTTTTTTTTTATTTTTTTATTTTTTTTTTTATTTTTGTGTCTGTCATCACGTTTTAGGACAGTAAAAGTGCTTGGATTTTCTTCATCAGTAGCTTTTCTGATAGGAAAGTGAATCTAGTTGGTACTTTGGGGGGTCAAAAGTATAAATTTCCCAGTAGTTTTCACAAGCGCCGGGAAAAACAACATAAAAATTAAGGAAAAACGGGAATTTTTACGCAAAATTGGTTTTCCAAAAAATCGATTTTGGTTTTTGGTGTAACTCTAAAACAAATGAACGTATATACATGAAATTTTCACTGGTTGTTTATATTTGCATTTTCTATACACGATAACATTTTCAAAATATTTTGATTTATTTTGAACTGTTTAGGGACATTTTCATTTTTCATTTTTTTTTAGTTTTTTTTCTAGAAA